AGTTTTATTGCAACTAATAGCCCTGTCAAATTGTGACTAAGTTCAAGAAATACGTACGAATCATCAATTATTTCTACATTAATTTTATTTTGGAAGCATAATACGTTGATCCATAAGTAATTAACTTTAATAGTCACCAAAAATTAATAAAACTAATGACCTCTGGTCGATGTTTAGAATTTCCAATCATACTATGTAATGCGAATCAGTTGGGAACTCCTCACATCTAAGTGTACTTATGCAAAGGGTTATGTAAGAAGGATAAACTTCGGTCTTACAAAGTCCTTGACTCACTTGAACGTTTCTTAGCCAGTCAATTCGCCCATCCAACACTTACTACCGACAGTTCTTACAATGAAGAAGCATTTTTACGTGCTGCAAAGTACGTCGTTCATAATTCAATTTGGTCGTTAGCTAGTGAAAGTACGATAATTGATATCCAGTTGACATTTGCCGGCTAAATTTTCGTTCGACTGACCAGGTAAGTTACACACAACTTTAATTCATGTAGCAGTTGGAATATAGTTCGATTCATGTCCATGAAAAAGTTGACGAGTAGTGACAGTGAAGAAAGTAATTAAGAAAAAGTTGAAAGCACTATTACTCATCGGTTGTTCTTATGATTCTAATGATTACACAATGAAAATACTCAACAAAACTAAATTGTAAACAATAAAAAAAAAATTATTTTAAATATCTAAATAATAAAAATTGAGTGAAGTTCAAATGTACTGGGGTGAAATCTAAAATAAAAGGTAGACGTTATAAAATGGTAAGTAGGTGCTATATTTTTAAATGTGTTGCATAAGAACATAAACTAAAGCAACCCAAAACTTATATAATAATGTAGGTGTATTTTAAATTTATTCCCCGGTTTTGAGGTGTGTTGATATAAAAATTTGCATGACGCTACCTTGAAGTAAATTTTAGTCATTAAGACCTATATTGAGTAAATGTCACTTAGGTGCTAGAAATCATAAAAAATATTGGGAAAGTAGACGGACAGTATACAACACTGACCTCTTTTTGCAATCAACCTATGAGATTTTACAAAAACAGATGAGATGAACTTATCAGAAACTTTTTCTTTTCCGTTTGTGACATTATTTCACAATTTATGATATATATTTATGTTTAAATAAATAACCTTTAGTTCATTAAAATCAGTGGATAATAAATTCCAAAAAAAATTTTGTCACGAAAAACTTTTTAATAAGAAGTAGAGAAATAAAGTACCTACTAATCCTTAAATTATAATTCCCAAGTAATTACATGAATAAGCAACAATAAAGAACTGTGTTTTAATATTTATTGAAGAGATTTTCGTAATTGTAAAAAATTAATTTAAATTTCTTGATTGGTCAACGAAGAAACTGTTTTTAATATTTCGACTTGCGTTACATAATATGCATCAAACCTAAATCCATATGCATGTACAATGTACATGGTGATAGAATCATGCATAATAAAGAAAGACAGATGTAACAGAAGAGAGGGAAAGTTAACGGAAGAATTACAGGTTGTTTCATAAAGTTACTAAGCTCCGCGATCTAGTCTTTTGCGATTCTTGACCCGAAGAATGGCCCCATAGTGGCACAGTTTCAATACACTCTAAAATCACTCGAAACAAGTGCGTGCTGATGAAAGAAATTTTTGGAAAAGCATTTAGAATGATTAATACTCTTGTAAAAGTAAGTAGAATCTTCATAAAAAGATCATTTCCTAATTAAAAATTTCATTATCTTCTTTTAACAATTATTATAAAA